TCCAGCCTGAATGCAAGCATAAACGAAACAATTGTCCTCTGTCATAAGTGTTGCAGTTCTTTTGTTCAGTTCATTGAAGATTTGGTAGCGTTCAAGATTTATAGGTAATATGCAAAGATACTTCCAGAACTGACCGCTTCTCTTCTTATAAAACTTCTTTTCACCATTATCTTTCCAAAAGCTTTCTATAAGTGCTGGGTTTCCTGTTTGCTTAAGAGCTTCCAAAATGGCTTTCTGGTCATTTGTCAGTGTGCTTTCATCTCTATATGGTCTCTTTTTTGGTTTGCCTTTCTTTACATCTGACATCGTTAAGCCTTCATATTCTGTTAAATCATACATCTTTATTTCGTAAGATTCTTTATGTTTGTCAAGAAGAAGTCATAGTGCATTTCAACAATACCTGCAGCATTTGCTTCTATCTCTGATATAAAGTTCTCCTTCAAGAGCTGATGTAGTAATGTTCCAATATTATTGAGGTTTAACGTAGAACATTCATACTTTCCACCAAGTTTATAACATACCATCCATCTCTGTTGGGAGTTTATTTTAATTTTCTCTAAGAGTCTCATGAAAACCTTACCGAAATGTTTGTGTAAGTAGTCTCTGTTTGGTTCATCTAAAGCTTCGATGTTAAAGTCAATGAGTCTATTGCCTGACTTCACATTCCTCTTCCTATTTTCTTCATCTTTCTTTAACCATCTCTCACCTTCTTTTGGTTTGTCGTCAATGGAACGAATGACATTATTAGCTTTGCGAACTTGTTCTATAGCACTTTTAAACATCTCTCTTCTCTGTTGTTTCAGTGTGTCATCTCTCTTTCGTGTTTCACCAACGTTTGCATTTGTTATGTCAAACATTTCTCTTCTTACTTCATGTGGTACAGCTCTTCTTGTTTCACCAACGTTTGCATTTGTTATGTCAAACATCTCTTGACGAACGTCATGTGAAAGAGCTTTACGAGTATGACCAACGTTTGCATTTGTTATGTCAAACATTTCTCTTCTTACTTCATGAGGTATTGAACGTCTATGATATAAGTCAATAGCAACGTCATTTAAAGGAAATGCTCTTGCATGGACTTCGTCCTCGCCGCGTTGCGGCTTTATGAACTCATGAATTCTATCATAAGTTATTTCACCATTATAGTCATTGAGGATGTCAGCGAGTGCCTTTTTGTTTGTTGTGTAATGCTTTGCAACATCTATATTAGCTTCTGTAAGAAGTTGTTTTATTTCCGAGTGTTCTAACTTAGACAACTTCCGATACATCTTTAGTAGGAAATAAAAAAAATATTTTTGAAAAAATTAGATTAGATTTTTTTAAGTTATTTTTCAAAATAATTTAATATTTTTATTTTAATGAAACACATGCAAGATTGCAAGTTCTTTTCATACAATGCTCTCGCTACTGTCATCAAGAATGAGTTCAATAATGCTTCAAACGTCAATGTTATCTTTAACAAGAAGTTTGTGAAAGAATCTAAGTTTGGTCAGTATGTCAGACCATTAGCTATTGTCATTGACCGCAAACGTTATACTTCACAAGAGTTAGCAGTAGTTTTGAAACAAAAGGGTTTCTTCGTGAATGTCAAAGATACTCATTATACTATTATAAAGAACTCCAACATTGACTTCTTCAGTATTGCTATGAATCTTTCCGAACAGAAAGAATATAAGAAGGGTGAAACAAATGTGAAATATTATTCTTCATCTCTGAAAACAATAACGAACAAAGATGTTATACAAAAGTTCTTACCAAAGGTTGAAGAAGCTTCTATTGACATTGACGAAGGAAGTGAAATGGTTGAAGAAATTGACCCTGACGTCATTTAAGCAAAAATATATTTTTGGTTAGTCTTCATATCGATATTTTACAACAATTCCCCAATGTATAAACTTTTCATACGCTTTTTCATAAGCTTTATATACCTTCAGAAATTTTGCATAATCTTTAGAAGCATTTAGATATTGTTTAAATGCTTTGTATGTCTTCAGAAATTTTGCATAATCTTTTACATGTTGTTCGTTCTCTTCTTCTGTCATGAGTTCCGAATATTCTAAATTCATGTTCTTTCATATGAGATAAAATTTTATAAAAAAAAAAAATTAGCTTAGATTTTTTTATTCTTCCTCTTTGAAGTTATCGAAATATTCTGTTATTTTTTCCTTCAGTAATGTTAAGTCTTCTTTGAATGTAAGTATTGTGCAACCTTTGATGTCATAGTGTGTTTGAGGAAGAGTATTTTTGACAATTTCCTTTATTTGCTCATTCGGTGTCATTGAAATCGGTAAGTTTTCACGATAGAACCAGTTTCTGTCAGATTTGTAAATCTTAGCAAGGTCATAAAAGCTTTTGTTGTTTCTTCTGACTAAATGCAACATAACCATATCTCTATCTTCTTCTTTCTCCAACTCTTCAGTATATATCATATACTTATAACTCTTTTCCTTTCCTTTTGGTACCGAACGTGGTATTCTTTTCTGTATGCTTTTGTCTTTGGATTCAATGACTTCATCTTTTGCTTGAAGTTTCTTTTCCATCTCTCCACGTTCTTGTCTATGAATTTCGTCAAGAAGTCTGTAAACATGCCATGCATAACGAGGAGAAGCCCACATTGCAACTGCATTTACTAAAAGTCTATGAACATAATAACCTCTTAAATTTATTGGCAAATTTTTACGATTTTCATGTGTTTTATGCATGACCGAAAAAAGTCGGTCTAGAGAAATTTCACTCAAAAGTTCTTGTGTGCTTTGGTTTTTGAACCAGTCGTCTGCGTGTTTAGTGTCTGGAGCAAAACATGCTGTCAAAATACTTTGCATTTGGTACATATCGTCTTTGACCGAACGAATGAGACGGAGTTGTTTGTTAAACTGAACCCACTCGTATTCTTCATTTATGGCTTCATGACTATAACTGTTGTTGTGTTCTCTAATGTTGACATTCTGTCCTTACATACAAAATAAAAAAATAAATAAAAATAAAACTAACTTTATTTTTCTGTGTTAAAGAAATGTTAAAAATTCAGGGTTACATATGTGAAAAGAAGTCACGAACAAATGAAGGTCATAAGATTCAGCACATAATTCTGAATTGAATGGTGTGTCATACATGTCAAGCCGTCAAGAATTGAAGGAGATACGAGGCTATAAAGATTTTGGATATTTTCTGACACACACCCTGAGGGAAAAGTGACAAAACACGACGATAGAAAAAAGTGACAAAATGGGAGAAAGTTGTTCCCCGACCAAAATGCAATCATGTCGAAAAAGTGACATTTGTAAAGTTAGACGATAGGATTTCCTGAAAAAATACAAGACTTGTTCTGAATCAGGACAAGATTTGTCTTGAAAAAATACAAGACTTGTCTTGAATCAGGACAATTGTTCTCAAATTTGAGAACTTTACAAGAAAAACTGACTAAAAAGTGCAAGACTTGTTCTGAATCAGGACAAGATTTGTCTTGAAAAAATACAAGACTTGTTCTGAAAAAATACAAGACTTGTTCTGAAAAAATACAAGACTTGTCTTGAATCAGGACAAAACTTTACAAAATGTAAACTTTACATAACCGTTTCTATCGTACATGATATTTAGTTGACATTGTAAACTATCTTCATGTAAAGTATGGCGGTTTGAAACCGTCGGGAACCTTCACTTTTTTGACGAACTTTCCGCAGCAATTTTTAAAATTTGTGAAAACTCAACGGTTTGACACGTGCCATATGTCATTTTACTCAGAATTTTGTGCTGAATTCAGCAAAAATAATGTTTATGTTAGCATGTTAGATCTAACACGTTTTCTAACCTCTTTTCTAACATAACTATTTACAAGCGTTTTACATGGTATATGTTGCGATGGTTCATGACTTTAAACAGTTTTGTAGCTTCTATTTCTTCTTTTAGTACATCGAATGTTTTAACAATGCCGAAGGTTTCTTTATATTTCTTCTTGACGTCAGATAGAAGGAAATCGTCAGCAGTTGGATAATTTTTGTTCAGAAATGCTAACATGTCCATTTTATCTTCTGCTGGCTTCTCTACTTCTTTCTTTAAGTCAGCATAGTCGTTTCTCATTCTTTCTATCTCTTTGACGGAGTAGTTATATTTCCTCATCGCTGCCTTACATTTTGAACATTGCGGGTTCATTTTTGCGTTATACATTGAAATTTGACCTGCTAAAACAACTAAGGCGTCAATTGCTCTCTTCATCTCAAACATAGCGGGTCTTAGTTGTTCGTTCCATACTTTGCCTCTTCTATCTTTATCTCTTATTTCCCAAACACATTCAGCAACTAATGAAACAAAGTTATCGTAGGTCTTAAATTCTTCAGATTTATATATGTCAGAAACATTCTTATAAACCATGTCGCAATCTTTGTCCATAACTTTATGGTTGCAATGAAAACCAAGGAATTCATAATTTACTTTACGTATGAACTTCTTTATTTCTACTGAGTCAGTTGTTTTGACTTCAATTTCGTCGAATTCAGGAATAGTTAGTTTTTGTTGTTGGATTTCAGGCAATTTGGGTAAATGGTCAATAATGTCCTGCATTTCATAAAGATACTGTTCATTTGTTTCATCTTTCGCACTACAGTCTAAATTACTTGTTAAAAGTTCTTGCTTTATCTTCTGGATTTTTGTTTCGAAAGTATATGAAGAAGGAATGAAGCTTTTCATCTCTACTAACATAGATGTTGGATTCATGACTAACGAGTTTGGTGCTGTAGTTTGAATTGTTGTTGTGCCGATTGTTGAAATCATATCTTTACATACAAGATAAAAATTTTTCTTAGAAAAAAATTAGCGTTATTTTTCTTTCATAAGGAAATGTCAAAAATTCATGATTTTCGAGAGTTTTAGACCATGTTAGAAAAGTGGTTAGAAAACGTGTTAGATCTAACATTCTAACATAAACATTATTTTTGGTGTAAATATGAAAACATTAATATCATGACTGTTCTCATTCATGTCTGATTTACATCTAATGAAAAAGTTTAGAAGAATTTTCTTATTCTTTCTGGCATATTTTTGTCTTTCCAGTACTCCCGCTCTAATGGTCCCAGATGTGTTGGCTTTGACTCTCTCAAGTTCTTAGATGGTATAACATCTTCAACACCTCCTTCATATCTTACTTTATAAGTGTCATCGTTTGTGTTGTAGCCAAGTATTTCAATAACCACTCCTCGCTTTGCTTCGTCAATGGTTTCAGCAAGTTTGCCATTACTACTTTCAACTAATTTATGACGAGGGTAAAATGCTATGGAGTCGTCAGCAGCTTTTATAAGATATCCATTACCTTGCGTAGAGTCTACGATATAATAGTTTCTACTTAACCTTAAACGTTTCTTTGTCAACGGTTTGTCGTCAAGAACTACACGAACTTTTGTACCAGGAATGAGGGTAAATTGTGTTGAATTTCTGATATTTTGTGTTTGGCTTCGTTTCTTTTGTATATACTTTTCTTCTTGTTGTTGTGTCATTGAATTTGGTGTATGTCCTGTTGTAGAATGTGTTGAGGAATTATATACTTCGAGAAAATGTTTCATTGTTTCTTCGGTAAAGTCTCGCTCTTGATTTAAATCTCTGAGCGTTCTTATGAAGCGGTTTATGATGCCGAGTATGTTATGGTTATGGTCTTCAGTAGTGTAGTGAGTTATGTTATGCTTAATGAGAAAATTCTGTGATTTCATTGCTGAGGTATGCACTGTCTTGGTCTGATGTTAAAGTACTTGGGCTATGTTCTGCTACAAACTTTTGTAAAACTCTTAACACTTCACGAGTTCCTTTATTTTTCATTGGATATGCATATGCTTTACGAGTGTTAACATTAATGAAGATGAGGAATGGTTTATGTCCTCCTTTTCTGCTTTGAATGAGAGTGTCAAATTGGTATGCGTCAGGAGCGTTGGAGTAAATTGGTAAAAAGTAGTCGTAAGGGTTTATTTTTGTTTGATGTACAACATTTTTGTCAAAGAACCTTTTCACTTCAGCTCTGTTAGTAAATCCCCAACTCTTTGCAGCTTCATTGAATTTCTTAAATGACCTCCATGGATGTTGTTCGAATACTTCTTTCAAGCTCATTTATGTAAAAATAAAGATTTTATTCTAGGCTCAAGCGCGTTCATTGAACGCGGTACCATGCAAATACAGTCACAAATGGTGGCATGTAATCTGCACCCAAGCCTGTTGGATTTGTTGTGAAAGTATGGGCATGATTTCCTGCGGTTCCACAGAAAATACCTGCGCTTGAATCTACTGGGTCACTTGAAATATCATATCTATGCATTCCCTGTCTATCCGAACCTGCTGCAAGATTTGTATAACCTCTTTTTGTTATTGAATGTGAATGACTACCTGTTGTGTTTGTAGTTCCTGTATGAGTGTGCGGTGGAAGGTTTGCTTCAGTAATTTTCTTCGAACCTCCTGTTTGCTTTGAAGAGTTAGCACAGTATAAGAATTTGTCTACAATCTGCTGCCATGTACCAAAACCTAAAACTGTTGCTGGATTTGTTGAGTTCATTGAAGTATAAATAGAGCCTATAGGATATAATGTTTGAAGAATCTGAGTCTTTAATGTTTGAAGCTCTGTTTTGTCTGCTTTCTTGTCATATAAATCTTGAGCAGTGAATTTAATATTATGTTCATCCTTCATGACATAAACATCTTTACATCTAATGTTTTTCATCGTCGTTATGTTGTCATCCGATGTTAAACCTTGTGGAAAGTTAGGAGGTTTACAATATAATGCATCCCCACCAGTTCCTTCAACCGTTCCTTCAATACTTTCTATAGCAACAGTTGTAAAACTTGTATGTGTATGAGTCTTATTTGCTTTCTTCTCTAACATTGCTGGTAGTTCATGTGTTTCAAAGTTTCTGACATGACCTTCGATATTCATACATTTGTTATTTAAGGAGTTTAGTGTATCTTTTACGCTTGTACTTGGATTCTCTAAAGGTGCACTTGAACCAAGGGTATAGTTCAATATTATGTCGTCTGCTCTAACAGTAGTGAAGGATTTATGTGTATGGTTCTTGTCAGCTTTACTGTCTAATGTAGCTTGAAGTTCATTTATATCGGAGATGTTGTGTTTATGAGATTTCAAAACTTTGTTCATTGCTTCGAGTTCAACTTTGTCAGCTTTACTTTTAATAGCATCTTCAAACGTTATTTTTGCCTTAACTCTCAAAGTAAATCTTGGTTCAACTAATACACCGTTAACATTGAAAGTAGAGGCATAAATTTCACCGGTATAACCAAATGCTTCTGGTGCTTTAGCTACATCATACTGTACAGTACAGCTTATGTCATAACCTTTAGCACGAATGTATTTATATCTTCTTTCATTAACATTTTTTGTCTTCGCTTCATCACTTCGTGTTAAATATCCATGGTAGTCCGTTATAATCTGTTCGTCTGAAGTTATATAATGAACATGGTTCTTGTCCGCTTTACTATTTAATGTAGCTTGAAGTTCATTTATATCGGAGATATTGTGTTTATGAGATTTCAAAACTTTGTTCATTGCGTCAAGTTCATTTTTATCTGTTTTACTATTTAATGTAGCTTGAAGTTCATTTATATCGGAGATATTGTGTTTATGTTCTTTATCTGCTTTTTCGGCTAATTTCTCTTCTATCTCATTTATTTCAAGTTCATGCCTACCACCACCTCCCGAAGAAGTATTTTTCTTCAGCTCTTGAAGAACGTCCACTTCGCCATCTTTGGTGTCAATAATGAGACTTTGAGTTAAAACCTTTCCTGTCTTAATGGATGTTTGTAAAACTTCTTCTTCACCGTGTTCGGGGTCATGGTCGTCATCATATCTTGTGAAATCAGAGATGTTGTCATACATTAAGCATATCTGTCTCAAAAGTTCTGCTATTTGAAACTGGAACGAAAGATATACAGAACTTTCATCATCTCCTAAAGTCAAGTCTGCTTTCTTAAGTATTTCTTGAATGTATGCAATGAGAACAGAGTACCTTGGAAAATATTCGAACAATATTTCATTAGCTGTTGGTTTTGGTGGTTCTTTTGGAGTTTCTGTTGTTTCAGTTCCTTCTGTAGGTTCTGTTGGAGTTTCTGCATCTCTTGACTTCAATGCTCTTGCTCTCAAAGACCTAAATGTTAGAGCACCGGGTTTTACAAAGGACTTTATAAATGCTTTAATAGTTCCTGGTAAGTTATTGTTAGCATTAAGTAAGTTCCTTATGCTTCCATCATGTACGTCCATAGCACTATGTAAAAAATCTATACTTTTCTTGTAGTCAGCAATAGACTGACTGTGATTTTTTAAAGATTTGTCAATACCTTTAAGCCAATCTTCATGCATGTCTGATACTGAGCCAAGAATATCATTTGCTTCCTTTAGTGTATTTTGTGCTTGTCGTAAAGTATCCAATCCCGTACGTGCATTGTTTGCTATACGTCTTACAGTATCTATTTGACTCCTTGTTTCTTGCATCCAACCAGATAAAGTTTTAATAGTATCCGAACCATTTGAAATGAAGTTCAAAGCATTTTTAACGTCATTTAAAACTTCTTCACCAAGTACCGCCCATATCTTTCCGATTTGGTATTGAAGAACTCCATATGAAGCAGCTGTTAAACCAGTATTTATAAGGTCCCATATCCATGATTTAGCAGTTTTTCCATCCTTTCCATCCAAACCGTTCTCGCCTTGAGGTCCTTGTATTCCTTGTATTCCTTGTATTCCTTGTGGTCCTTGAGGTCCTTGAGGTCCTTGAGGTCCGGTGTCACCCTTCTCTCCTTTCAGTTCATCTTTATGTTCGTTATAATATTCTAATGTCATAAGGTGTACATCATTACTGCTACCAGCAACGCCAAGAATTTGTTTCTCATTCATGACTAAATTCTTTAGGCATTTAATGTTGTCGTCAAATCGAAAGCTCTTTAACAATTCAATGAGAACATTCAGTACTTTCACTAATGAGGCATCTACTGTAGAATTTATATATTGCACCGTTCCATCATTTATGATAGGAACCTTGCTTGTTGTAATGAATGGGTCATAAGTGTTAAAAGTATCGAAATCAATGACTTTTTTAGTTTTTCCATCGTCAATGACTAAATCATTGCCTTCAATGGTTAAAGTTGAGTTTTCGTTTACTAGTTCATGTGCTCTTCTTGCTTCATTTGTTTCATACGCATATGCAGCAATAGTCATATTTTAATGAGAATAAAATGTTGTTCTATTTGCAAAGTACAGACCCAAACGAATACGGGACAGTAAAGCTACAAACAAACTTAGGTCTTCAGAATGAAGCGCTTGCTTTCAGAGTTGTTGACTTCAATACTATCGCAACTTTTGTCATAACAGATGAAACAGATTTCATAGAGATTGAAATAGATGACAAAAGAAGTTTTATAACATTTCCTAACAGAGCAGAGTATAGAATAGATAAAATTGCTGGAGTCATAGGTACTCTCATAAATGAAGAAACTATTGACAACATAGATGTCGAACTCTCTTCTGAGGGAACATTGAAGTTCAGTAGCAAGAAAGAGTTCAAGATAACACGAATGAGTCATAGAGTACAACTTCTTTTGGGTGCATACCATATGACATTTCCTTTGAAAAGTGTTGACAAAACGATTGAGATGAAATCTGTTCCATACGTATGTTATGGTAATTGTTTATACATTGAGTCTAAAATAGCTAATGTCACAGGCATTTCAGGAGTTAATAGTAAAGGTTCAGTAGAGTATAAATCTTTCTGTTATGCAGTCAATTCAATGTTCATTCCAAACGTTCCTGTCATAGCAACTCATTTAGGTAAATGGGTTCGCATTAGTCCTCATAATTTGAAAGACATGCAATTCAGACTAGTTGACTTTCAGGGCGAGCCTGTAGAACTGAAGGCACCAGTGCGAATGACTGTTGAAGTTGACTTTTTAGAAAATATTAAATGCAACAGCTTACAAGAGAACTCAGAGCTAAAAATATAAAGTATGAATGTTATGTATTAGGTCATGAACTTTGGTTGTTGCTGTTTGATGAAACAAATGAGTTAGTTATGTCAGTCAAGAGAACAGAAAAAGGCGTCAAAGGCGCCGAGCGCAAAGCGCTATATTGTGTTAGTGAAAACTGCACCAAGTCAATAAGATTAGGTTTGCATTATGAAGATGAGTTCGATACTGTTGAAGAAGTTTTGGATAGATATTACAAATTGCTTTAATTTACTAAAACATATTTCAAGCAAAGTTTATATTCTGTTGAAAGTTTTGTATACTCGTTCGAATATTTATACTTAAACTCAACTCCTGTAGTTCCTGGTGTTTCAATGATGCGGATGTTACCTATTTTCATGAATAGTGGAGTTTGACCACAGCATTCGATTTCAGGGTCGAGATAGTCAATGACACATTGTTTCCCTGTTATTCGTGATATAACATTTTCAAGGTCCTCCTTTGTTAGAATTATTTGGTTCTTACTTATAAGATTTGTCAAAAGCTTCTTATCGTCTTTGAGTAAATTGTTTGGTATAACTGAAGAAGGTAATGGTCTACGTTATCTGAAGGATTTGTTTGAACATTTGTGTAAGGGTTGTCGTTGGCTTCTCTTGAAAGAATTTGGTCCAGTGGTGGATACTCTAACTTAACATCTGATGTAGCGTTAGCGTTTGAAGCTGAGTTTAAATTCACGGCGCCATGCTCCATGATGGGCTCTTTGAGCCCTCCCGACTTAAGTTCTGGTTCTTTTTCTTTCAAACACTCTGAACTATAGTTCTTTATGACAATATTGTTTGTCGTTCGTGAGTCAACATTTGATGTTGGTTCAATTGGAACATTAACGGCACCAGCTAAGATGGATTTGCTTCTCATTTCATATAGAATAAAAACCTTTTATATGTATGAAATGAACAATATACTCGACAAGGGTTTGAATGTAAAGCTAACGAATGAAAATATTGTTGAATTCACTGAGACAGGTGCTGTGTATAAAGATGTAGAACTACTGAACAAAAGAGCTAAGGGAAGAAGCAGGAACATGAACAAAGGGTGGAAGCCTATAAAAATTTATGTCAATGATGGCTCAGGAGGTTCAAACATAAAGTATGCAGAAAGTTATAGAGTTTATGCTCTCAAAGGTGAAAAGCCTTCATTTAAGAACAGCTATTCTAACGCATATCCTCAAAAGCTAACGGATGGGGAAGTGGATGATATGAATGACAGCAAAAATATTAACAGAAATGGCGACAGAGATGCATGGAATTTGTTTACCATCAGTCAATTGAAGGTTAAACTTTAAAACAATGTTGGTCGTTCCCATGGAATATTTTTGACTTTAATGGTATTAGTCATGATATGAATCTCAAGGTATGAACGAGGAGAGATGAGAGACTTATATGCTTCCCAAATTTCTTCAAAAGGTAATGTTATACCTGACTGTTTCCAAATGAGTTCAATATCATAGCGTGAGAAACCTTGAAAGATAACGAAGTCAGTTATGAGACGTTTTATGTTTAAAGCTAAAAACCTCCATGTTTGCATAAGTATTGCTACAGTTAAATGGTAATGTCTGACTTTAGTTATGATGTTAGCTAATGGTGAGTCAGGCTTTGAAACTAAACCTTTTCCGGCGAAGTCGTCGCAAACTAACAAAGTATTTGAAGGATATTTTTTGAAGGGGTATTTTGAAAGTTTTGACAGAATGTAGTTTGTAAGTCGTTTCATATCGTAAACTCCTGAGTACTGACGTAAGTGGTGTTTGTCAATAATTCTTTCCATCTCCTCAGAAGTCTTTTGCATTCCTGACTGTATAAATTCAACGATGGCATAATATTTCCTCTTACGTCGAATGTAACGTTGAAGAAATTCAATGAGTTCACTGTCTGGAACTTTAACGACAGAGGCTTGAACTTTTGACATAAATGTTTTCGCTGTTGAGTCCATAGAGTCTGAAGTTGCTGATATAATGATTTGGTCATAGTAAGAGTCGTTTCCTAAACGCTCTGTTATGAGTATATGACGAATGAGGTTAAATGTCTTACCTGAACCCATCTTTCCACAATAGAAATACACACCATTTGAACAGAACTCATAATCTTTGCTGAAAGGAAGAATAAGAGAACTGTTGAGCTTTTCACTGCTTTCATTCATGTCTTCATCTACGTCATGTATTAAATGCTTCATTTTATCTCCATTAAAAATGCAAGTCAGAAATATTCAGAACATAGCACCGAGTCTAACTGACAAGAGTATAAAGATATACTATGAACATTTATGATGAAACCAACCAAAATTCAAGAAAGTCAGTATACTTATGAATATCCAAGACACTGGGTAGAGTATGTAGGAGGTGAGAAAGCTATTGAAATCAGACAGGTTCGAAGTATTCCAGCAGGAAGAACAATATTATTGAAGAACTTTAATGTTTTGAGATATAATGATGAAACAAGAAGCAAGATAGTTTCCTCTGTTGCTGTGTATGTGAACTTAGATACAGGAGATGACATGAAAGTTTTTAACACAAAGCTTCAAACGGTAGTGAGAGAACAACTGACTGCGGAAGGGCATCCATTACCTTCAGAAGTTACCATAGCATATAATTTTGAAACAAACTCAATAGATTTTAAAGTCATCTCTGCAAAGAAGTCAGGTTTACATTTAATGAAGCAGATGTATATTCGAATGAAAACTTCAAAGCTATTGCATGGTTAGATAATGACGATTGCTTTAAGAAAATATTTAAATACAGTGACTCAAAGATGTCAATAGATGACCTTCGTGGAATGTTACCATCGACGTTTACAGTAGAAGGTTCAGCAGGATTGCTTACAAGATTGTCAATTGGTGGTATTTGGTCTCGTGAGAACATTGTTATAAAATCCAGTATAAGTGAATTTGCTGAAGAATCTATATTATGTCTTTCAAACTACATGTATTCGCCGCCGAAGCATTATAGTATAACAAACTTTGTCAGTAAGTTTAACATAAGACTTGTCGAACCTTCTTCAATGAAAGATGTTGTGCTACCTAAAGACGGAAAGGATGGACTCATTATTGAGATGATTTTAATAGCATATTAAATGAGCTTGTTCTTGAAGGTCATTCATGATGAAATAACTGTTGTAGAAGATGTTAGCAATTGTTCAGACATTTTATTGAGAATAGATGAATATAAGAAATAAGTTTAGTAGACCGCAAAGCGGTGAGGGCGAAGCCCGTGAGAACGCTTATGTTTCATTGACTTTCTCCAGTAACGAGAACTTTTATGAGATAATATTGAAGAGAGATGATTTTAATATGGTGTAAATGGTAGCTTGGGCAGCTTTAGGCGCAATGGGAACAAAAGCATTAGCATTTGGAGCAAAAGCACTTGGAGCTTATGACGCAGTAAATAAAATGAGTGGAGGAAGGGTTTCGAAGACATTAGATGCAAATAAAGGGAAGATTGGAGGCTGGGTTGCAAAGAAGTTAAGATTAAATAAAATAGGGCTCATAAATAAAGCATCCAATTTGGTTGCGACTGAGTCAGAAAATGCTTTAGGAAAGGACGATGAGTTTGCAAAACACGCAAAAGACTTTAATGACCAGATGAAAGGTGAAACAATGCATTTAAATAGAGTCGATGGAACTAAAGAAAATGTTTCTTCTCCACCAGCGGTTTATCCATACGGACCTTGGAATGTATGGAAACCCTTATGAAAGACCATTTGACCCATTGACTGGTGGAAGTAATGGTATCATTACGGACGAAGAAGAAAGACAGTCAAGTTGGAGACAGACGTGAAGAAAGCAACTAAAAAGAAACCAAGGAAGAGAGTTATAAAGCAATGAATTCAACAGGGTAGAAATGAGGGTAGAAATGAGGTTAGATCTACCCTTCTACCCTAAATTTATTTTTGCGCTATGTTTTCATACGTGTGAGGGTGGTGATATCATTAATTTTTAAGTTTATTTTTTAAATAATTTTTATTTTATTTTGGATGTAATGACGAAAACTATTGAGATAACAAACTACAACGGTCATGAGTTCAAGAATTTGTTCTTCGTTCCTCGTGAAAAACATTCTATCAGATACGAGGGAGAAAGGGTAAAGTTAGTTTGAGCGTTTATGACTACAAGCATAATGGAAAGTTTATACAAGCATATGATACAAACGGTAAAGCGTGTTTCATTAGCTTTGTCAAAACTTACTAACATTTATTTTGACAGTGATTTTGACCTATATGAAGAAGAAAGTGAGTCAGAAGATTATGAGCTGTTATATGAAGCACAGCAATGGGAGGAGTTGCAATACTTTTGTAAGTGAGAACGTTTATTTTTTACATTAGTGAGGTGAAGTGGTTGGCGGCTTTGTAAATATTTAAGGTTAAGTTAGTGTTGTCGTTTGTGTTGTAAAATATACGTTAACGGTTTTGTAAAGTGTCAAATTCACATATAATGGGTAAGGAGGCGCGCAGTGCCTCAGTACCCATGATATGTATACTAACTATATCATACAGTTGTTGTATGACTTTTCCAACTGTATAGTTCCTTCCCGGGAACTCACCATCTTCGTTTGGAATTCCAGTCGGAATATATTGGACAAACCTCATGTATGCAGCGTTAAGGTCGACATAGTATATCTTTTCATCTGAGTCGAACTTGTCGCAACCAATTGGTCCAGTTTGTGGAAATTCAAGTGAGTCTCTTATCTTCTGAGAAACTTCTCCTGTTATCTCATAAACATCGTCGAAGCAACCTGTTTCATATAAAACCTTCTGACCTAACTCAGATGCTCTCCAATACAATTTGACGTCAATTGGATGTCTCAATGGAAGTTTGTTTATAGCATCTTAAAGTTCTTGCAACCTCATTGGAAGTTCTTCTGGTTCAGGTTGGTATCCGAACATACCAACCCCTTGTGGAACTGTGTACTTCTTTTGTACTAGAACTTTGTCTGGAACAACTTTTGGTCTTGCTAACAATGAAAAGTTTGTTTCGTCTTTTGGTACAAAAGTTTCTGTCAGCTTGTCATCTGGAATTGGTTCCAACAAACCTTTCTCGAAAAGAATGTTTACAGCTCTGACAATGTTGCACTTACTTTTACCAAAGAATGGGTTTGTAAGACTTTCGTTCAACATGAAGTGGTTGTGGACAATTACAATCTTCAACCATGGTAAGTCTTTGTCAACAACATAGTCGTCATGTGAAGAACCTTTAGCTGTAGGTATGTTGACTCGGATATTGACGTTTGCCAACGGTGCAATTTTTGCCAATTGACCTCTGAGAATGTACCTTGTCTTCACACATGACTCAAGATACTTCATCTTCTCATCTGTAACAAGACCAGAGTTCCTGAGACATGTAAGAATACAAGGTTCATTGACAATTGTTTCAATTGAATTGTAAATTCCTTACATGGTCAAGTCAATGTCAGACTTATTTATGAAGGGGAAGTATCCAGCATGTTGTCTGACTGCTTGAGGTTAGGTTGGTACCATTCGAACTTGACACTTGCAATTCCTTCAATTGCATTCAAAATGTCTGAGTCGGAGTCAACCATTTGTTCTCTCTTTGTAGTCTTGAAAGCGTCAAGAAGTTTTGCGGCTGTTTGTTCATTGCCATGTGCATAGTAAATGTGACCATCCAAATCTGTTATGGTCAATCTGAGATTGTGTCCTTTCTTATTTCCGTCTTGAATTGCAGCAAGTACTCCCATGAAGCCTTCTTTGTTCTTTCCTTCGTCAAAGTTTACTGTAAAGGTTCGACAGATGTAATTTGACTTCTAACTTCACGATACTTTTCATATGCATATCTTGTTCTTTCCATGGGAGCATGTGCGTCTTCACCCTTTTCCTTTTTTCCTTCTCAAAGGATGCAATTGTTCGTCATGTTTCCAGTAGAATCTGGCAAAGCCGTCGTGTCCTTCAACTTGAGGTTCACTAACATCGAAAGGCATGTCCATAAGACGTTCTTCTTTTAACCTCTCTAGTCTGTTTGGATAATTGGCACGTGCTGTTTCCAAATCTAATTCGTAGGTCAGACCAGCCAGTTTGTCATAGACTTTTATGGGTCTTCCTTTCTTATATTTAAACTTCTTCGAAACTCTCCAACCATATCTTTGTAACTCTGCTTTTATTCTAGCAGACTTTCTGTCCATTCTATATGGGGACATTTTTATAAAAATAATTTTTTTTCTTTACTTTACATAACCGCCTGCTGCCATAAGTCTTTGACGCCAACCCATACCAGCTAATGAAGGTTGACTTGGTTTAGTTTGGAAACTAAAATTTGGTTTTGGTTTTCTTCAGTTTTTTCTTTTTTGGTTTTTCTTCTTCTATCGGTTTTTCGTCACTTTTCGGTTCCTCTGACTTTACTTTCACTTGCAGGAACAGTTGTGTCGTCAACATCTTCATAAATATCATATGCCATTTGCCATTTGTTTTTGTTTTCCTTTCAACTTTTTTGTGTTTGTTGTAAAGTTTAGAATATTTCGACTCTAAGTCAATGAGATGTTCTATAATGAACTGTTGGTCAGTGAAGTAAACTTTTCCATCTGTTGTCTCGAAAGCTCCTTCAGACTTCAATATTTTATTTGTGAGAGTCTGTTTCTTTTTTGAGATACTAGCCGTTCCATTTCTATGAAAAGTGACTTTATAGTTAGGGTTTGTATTTCCAGACCTGGCACGTTCTATTATTGAATTTTTCTCTTCATCTGTAAGTTCTTTGACAGGTTTTGACAATGGTTCTGAACTTTTTGTTTGTGGTGTCAAATCTACCGTTTCAACTTCTTCGGTCATTTCATCTCAGTAAAAATTTTTAGTTTGGTTTGTTTTTTCAACTGGTTGTTTGTTGTGGAGGTGGATGGTTCCTTTAATAATATCATTCAGTTTCACATGCTGAGCCTGACTATATGGTATCGGTTTAAATGCTGGAAGCCGACAAATCCATCTTGAACTCATTTGTCTCAATGCTGCATTGTTCATTTCATCTCAATAAAAAACCTTACATTTCCAAGTTTGAGGCGGTTGAGGTTGGTTATTGTTTACCACACGTGTTGTGCATGGTTATATCCTCTGTTAAAGAATCTTTCACCTTGGTCCATATAGTGTCCTGCTTGGTTATAGTAGTCATTTTGCTTTGTTATAATAGTTTCCTGCTTTGTCTTCCTACATTGTCCATCCATCCTTGAACTTTTCCCTCTTGTTTCAGGATTTGGAATAAGATTTGTTGCATCTCGTGCTACATCCCAACCTTTCTGTACAGTTTGTATAATAAGGTTTGTGCTTTCTCTTTAAGTATACCTTAATGTACTCAAAATCTTCCTTCCAACTCCAAATACACCTCTGGCTATTGTTCCCACTCGGGTAAAATCTAGATGCGACTCCTGCTAATGCGCCAAATAAACCAATTTCTTACAGGGTAAAAAAGGACGAATCCAAACAAGGACCCGTATGTTTCTAAAGCGACAAAGAAAGCACTCATGATAAAAATCTTTTAGTTCAACACCAAATGCTTGGTTTCATGGATATCTTGGAAAACATTCCGAGGTATAGAGAAGATGGACCACCATATTGGTTAATATTTGTTGGTCAAAACAAATACTGTGAAGCCATACCATTACAGTCCAAAGCTATTTTAGATATCTTAGCAGCTTTGACAATATTCGTTGACAAATACCATCCAACAAAACTGACATCTGACTGTGAAAGTTCTTTCAAATCAAATGATGTAAAAAAACTATCTGCGTTCAAAAAATGTAAACCAATATTTCATTGTCGACCAAAACCATTCTGCTCTTGGTGTCATTGACGGATGTATAAAAATGTTAAGAGACTTAAACCAACCAACAAGGTGGTGAAGCAAATGAAATGTCATATGACGACAAATATAGACACTTCTCCATGGCAAAGATGAGACAAGTTTTAAATATTTACAATAACCGTAAACAAAAAGGTTTGGGAAACCACTCCCCCGAAGAAATGAAAAACAACCCTGACTTAGAGAAAGACTATATATTTAATAATTTAGTCAAAAGAGACAAACAAGAAAGAATGCCGGGCTTCAAACTTCAGAAAGGTGACAAAGTAAAAATAGAAATACCTAAACGCGACCCATATGAAAATACTATTGACTATGACAACAATGGGAACCCGACAGGTACTCACATTCGTGTTCGTAAAAATAGAAGAAAGTATACAAGAGAATATTATGAAGTTTTAGGCAAACATGGCAAAATGTACACACTGCAAGCAGAAGATAAAACTACTATTGTCAGACCTCGTTTCAAACTTGTCAAAGTTCAAGGTGGTATACTTTCAAAGACAGTTCCTAACAAATATAAGACAACTCCTGACGAATATGCTAAAGAAGTTGAAAATGACGACTAAGCAATTCTATACCATGCGTAAACTGTCATGTAAGGTGGCATGTATTCTTTACTTTGTCCCGTTGTTTGCGTATATCCTGAAACGAAATGTGTATGGTTTCCTTCTCCCTGCGTGTTATTCCAGTAACAATTTATAGCAAACTTAACGTCGTCTTTAACATCATATCCTTTACCTTTTGTCATTCCTGACCAATCCCAATATCTATGACTATGCCAACCTGCTTGAGATGTACTTAAATCTATGTAATGACTGTGTGCAGGTAAATTTTCACCTGAAATCGTTTTACTTCCACCTGTTTCCTTTGAAGAGTTTGCACAATACAAAAACCTGTCGACTATTTGTTCCCATGCACCAACACCAAACATTACTTGAGGACCTCTTGCATCCATAGATGTATAAATAGAACCTACTGGGTTCATTAAATCAAACATATGAGATATTATAGGATTGTCTCTTTTGAACTTAAAATATAGTGCAACTATTTCAGGTTTCTTCTGGTTTGTGTCAGAATATTTTTTATAATATAATCTTATGTTTTCAGGGTAGGTAAAATCTTGACTATAATATTTATTTCTGTCATCTGTATAATAATATACTATTCTCGTTTTTTCTATTGCATTATATCTTTTATATCTATAATAATCTAAATATAATGTTAGCTTTTGTTCATCTACATGTGGTGTTCTGTCGTCATCTCCATAGTCATAATAATGTGGTGCCGGAGCTGGGTCAGGTAATATCATATCCACCATTTCATAAACTCTTAAATATTTCTTTTGTTCGTCTCCATATAAGTTTAAGTAGCAGTTGTTGTCTAATGGAACTTTAACTTGTGTACCATCATTCTTTTTATAGCTTACATACATTTCATTGTTATTTTTCGGAATGAGTTTATACCGTGTACCATTTTCTAAGGACTGTACCAACTGCCATCTAAAATATTTATTTTCTTCATTGACAGAAAAGTCACCAACAATAGTTTCAATATTTTTTGTTCCTATCAAACTTTGGTATATTTCATTGACATATGTTTTATCTGCTTTATTTTCAAGGCTAACGTTTAAGTCTGTTATTTCAGAAGATGTATGTGTATGTCCAACGTCACTTTTCCTGTTTAAGGTTTCTTGTAAGTTTGTAATATTTGCAATGGTATGTGTATGTCCAACGTCACTTTTCCTGTTTAAGGTTTCTTGTAAGTTTGTAATATTTGCAATGGTATGTGTATGTCCAACGTCACTTTTCCTGTTTAAGGTTTCTTGTAAGTTTGTAATATTTGCAATGGTATGTGTATGTCCAACGTCACTTTTCCTGTTTAAGGTTTCTTGTAAGTTTGTAATATTTGCAATGGTATGTGTATGTCCAACGTCACTTTTCCTGTTTAAGGTTTCTTGTAAGTTTGTAATATTTGCAATGGTATGTGTATGTCCAACGTCACTTTTCCTGTTTAAGGTTTCTTGTAAGTTTGTAATATTTGCAATGGTATGTGTATGTCCAACGTCACTTTTCCTGTTTAAGGTTTCTTGTAAGTTTGTAATATTTGCAATGGTATGTGTATGTCCAACGTCACTTTTCCTGTTTAAGGTTTCTTGTAAGTTTGTAATATCAGATATAGAATGTGTATGAGTCTTATCTGCTTTTGTCTCTAATGTTTCCTTAAGACTTGGTATTTGGTTAATATAATGTATATGAGTCTTTTTAGAATATTCGTTTTCAGCTCTTGTCACTTCACTTGACATTTTATTGTCAACATATGTTTTGTCTGCTAGTTCAGGATGAGTATGTTCTTTTGTTGCATAAGCATTGTTAGCTCTTTCTTCTTCTTTTGCTAGTAGCCCATCTTGTCAAGCTCAACGTGTATTTTTGGAGCTACCAAGTCGGCTAATGTAATGATTTCATCCCTTATCTCGTCTCTTCTATATGGGATCTTGAGTTGAAAATTGATTACTCCCTTGAAGGTGGAGTAGACATGTCGAGCGAAATCTTCTAGTACACCTGAAGCGGCCATATTGATTGACATGTTGGTATCCACAACAAATTTTACAACATAAAGTAATTTTCTATCTTGTTTTATTAAATCTCTTCTCGTATATGGATTATTTTCACATTGTATTTGATATATATGCTGATGATCTTCATCAAATTCTGATGGTTTTCGATGATAAATGCAGCGCATATATGTTTTTGTTAGTAAATTGTAATGTATCGCTAAACAATAACAATAAAGTCTTTTTCGTTCTTTCGATTTTTCGCTTGTATCTGGAAGATAAGCAATATTGAAACATACTCGACATTTATTATTAGTTGAGAATTTAGTATCCTCGAATTTTGGTAAGGGAGTACTTTTCGAGGGATATTTTTGGGAGGAAGTTTGCAATCAATCCATCCCTCAAATTTGGATTCATATTCATCTTGTGTTTCAGTCATTAATTCTTAAAAATAAAAAGGGTAAAAACTAAATAAAATGGGTAAAATTCAATAGTGTCTGTGCTATCGTTCAATTTGAAGGTGTCTTTTGAAACCGCAAGACACATTGAATTTTTGAATAGTGTATTATGGTTTGACAGACACCAATGAAAAAAATAAAATGATATTTATTTTAAATATATAAGATCCTTATATAAAATATAAATATTTTATCGTTTTATTTTCTTGTTTTAGAAATGTTTTTTATTGAAAAATCAATAAAACTAACTCCAAAATAAAATTTTTGATTTAAAGACACTATGATGACACCAGGCAAATCTTCCAAGACACCTATCGTCGGGAATCTAACAACCCTATATCTCAATTCCTTCAAAAAAATTGAAAAACTATTTAATTTTAAAAATATAATACTTTTAATTAGTTAATTAATTGGAGATATTTTTAAAAAATCACTTTTGATAATACTTTTGAGAGTAGGGGTAATTTTAGCTAAAAGTGACACACCCGTGAAGGGTGTGATTACCGATCGGTAATTTCGACAGTTTAGAATTTAAAATTTTTTATGGAACGGTTGCGAGTTTCATAAAGAATTTAAGAAATATAAGCAAAGATTTGAATCAAAATCTTAGACCTAAGCCGCTCGATTCGCTCGCGGCTTCCGCGAATTACAGATCAGCAAAGATTTGAATCAAAATCTTCGAACTAAGCCGATCGCTTCGCTCGCGGCTTTCTTTATTATTTTAAATTTGCATATTTCCATCAAAAGTTCATAAGGTAAAAAATTTCGTTTATATTATTGCAAAATAAAATCTTCATTATCAAAATAATATTAAATGATAATATAATATAATTTGCCCAGCCAGTAAAGTATTCAATTGTTTTTTTTTTGCATTTTTTTAAAGCTTCTTAACTTAAATCATGGAATGTCTCAAAGACAAAAGTAGCATACAGCATGTAAAGCTAAAGAAAGATAATCATAATTAATACCCTAATTTTTAATATTACGCATTTTTAGGTGCAAAATTTAAAAACATTCTAATACAATAGAGCAGTTTCCAAAAGTAGCATACAGCATGTAAAGCTAAAGAAAGATAATCATAATTAATACCTTAATTTTTAATATTACGCATTTTTAGGTGCAAAATTTAAAAACATTCTAATACAATAGAGCAGTTTCCAAAAGTAGCATACAGCATGTAAAGCTAAAGAAAGATAATCATAATTAATACCTTTAAAGTTTAAAATCTTGATTTTTTTTAAAATCAAATATTTATAACTTTAATACATACAGCTTAAACCTTATACTTGTTTTCTCTTGTGAGAAAGCAATCTTACAAAGCTAACAATCCTAAAAAATAAAGAATTAAAATTTAATAATTTAATCTAACAAAATTTCTCTCTTTATCCTTTTGCACTCTTTATATGCAACTCAAATCCATCATATAATATTCCTAAAATACTCTTGCCTCAAACAATGACGAACAAACTGCTATTCTCATTTAATTACAGACCAAATATAGGGTGTCCAAAGGTGTGTTTAGCACAAACCTGAATACTGCGAATAGAAATAAACAAGTTACATATATATAAAGTTTATTTAAATATAATCACCATTGGATTCAATCACGCGTTCGCAGCGATCGATCCAGGCTTGAAAGACACGCTTTAAATCATCATGAGAAAATTGCTCAAATTGCTCTCTTACAAAATTTTCAAGATCATCTGGACTCGCGAATTCGCGTCCTTCAGCTCTCTTTTTTAGCGTGCCGAATAAATAAAAGTCAGAGGGTGCAATATCAGGTGAATAAATTGGGTTTGGAACAACTTTGACATTGTTTTCCACCAAGTAATTCATTACCTTATGACTTTTGTGAACTCTTGAATTATCAAAATGAATTGCAAACTTTTGTTTTTGTTGTTTGGATTTCTCAAACTCATCAGAATTGATAATTTGAGTAAGAACATTGTCAATTAGATACTGAGCATTCATCGTATTAGGTTTTTGAAGAATATCAATTGCGATGATGCCATTCACGCCCAAAAAAACCGACAACATCATCATTGGTGTGTCAATTTTTTTCTTCGGGAATGTTTGCGGATTTTCATCCTTCGGGATCCACATGATTTTGGCTTCTGTTGCATATTGAAACCAAGACTCGTCCCCTGTTACTAAAAAGCGAAACTTCTTGGATTGATACGCACCCAATATAGAGAGGAGCTCTTTCGAAGATTGGACTCTAGATTTTTTTTGAACTGAATTAAGGTTGTGCGGAACCCAACGTGTATACGCTAGTTTGTAGTTTAAATAATTGTGCAGATAATAACTGACTGTTGTACGTGGTATCTTTGTCATCTCCTCTATCCTTCTGAGTGATGCTCTTGGGTCTTCATCTAGCGCTTGAAGAATTGCTTTGATTTTTCTTTGATCCGGCGATTTTTTGTCAATTTTTATGATGGGCGCCTTTTTGTTCATGAAGTGATACATCCTAACATGATACGTTACAGTGGAATAGCTAGGAGCATCCATACCGAAGCATTTTACCAATGTCTCGTAGATTTTTTTACAGTCTTTGCATTTTTTTGCAAGAGCGAGGATGTTTTCTTTATGATTCATTAAAAAAATGAAAAAAATCCCGCCAAAATTTCCCGCGAAACCGCCTCTTGTCTCAAAATTCATTTTATATTCCGGCATGGCGCCAAAATACAACATACTCATCATATACATATATTCATATTTTTTATTATATATTTATAATCAGCATATATCTCCTTTAATAGTCTCATATAGAGCGCTGTGCTAAACGCACCTTTGGACACCCTATATATTCAAATTTCTGAATTTTTAATTTTCATTTCAATTTCAAATGGAATTAGAAGAAGAAACTATCTTTACTGTTATGGATCTTTGTAAATTTGGAGTTAAACAAGAAATACAAGCACAGTATGGATATGGTGAACGTGTCAGGAAAGATCTCAGATTTCATTCCACTGCAAATATCCAAAATGTCCTGCACATTTTAATGTTGCAATCTTGGATCAAAATAAATACAAACTAATCAAAATAGTTGAAGAACATGATCATTCCGCCCCAAATGACAAAAGTCAATATTCGTCTGTCTTTTATCGCAAATATTTAGAACATTACTTCCAAACAGATGACAATCAAAGAGCGATAGCACAGCTAAATGCATTCAAAGATCTTGAAATTCCTCTTACAGGTCCGTCCATTCCAGAGATGTACGCTCAAAAACCACGTGCAATCAAACGATTTGCAGAGAGAATACATGCTCTTCAAACTAGATATTCTCCTGACGATGTTGTGTCATTGCAAATCTTTGTTCAGACAGTACAAGAAGAATCTCCAGATGATCTCATTGCATTTGAAGTCTCAGACAATAATATGTGTTTCTATTACGCGCCTTTTGAAGGCAAAGCTTATGCGCATAGTATCAAGACATTTCATATAGACAGCACCTATAAATTGTTGCGATCAAACATTCCATTGTATGCATTTACTGGCAAAATCAAAGATTTTCACATTTTCCCTTTTTTATATTTCTTTTGTCAACCAGACACTTATCAAAACATTCAAGTTTGCGTGTGCGCCTATCTCAGATGGGTAACAATTGAGCCAGAATACATTAGCATGGACTGTGCTCCACAGATAGCTCAAGCAATAGAAGAAAGCATTCCACAAGCTCAAATACTTTGGTGCGGAGTACATGTTCTTCGTGCAATTCTTCGCAAATCAAATAAGTTTTCTTCTCAAGAAAAATTTGAACAATTCTATAATTTGATGAAGGATTTAGTCTTCAAATTAGATGCAGAACATGAGGAAGAAGCAAATGCTGCCTATGATCAAGTTCTGGAGTTGCTCGACACAGATCCAACAGCATCTCAATACTTTAACAGACAATGGCGTTACAACATATCAAGATGGATTGCTCGTGACAGGCGTGAAGGCGACGCAACTAACAATATTGCCGAAGCTCATTTTAGAACACTCAAACATGACTATTTTCCTGATCGAAAAAATCTCAGAATTGATGATGTTATTATAGAAATTTATACAAAAGTGATACCATCTTTCGTTATCAAACTCAAAATTGATCAAAATCCAGCAGATGACCGTGTTATTAGGATCATGGAAAAAGCAACTAACGCAGAAATTGATGTAAAAAGACAAAGAAAAATCGAGAGTATTTCAATGCTCAATAGATTGCTCAATGCTGTTAGTAATGACTCAATAGATCCCACTAAAATATATCCTACCTTGAAAATATTATTACAAAGAACTCATTTTATTTAATTT